TCTCCAGTTCTCTCCTCTCCCCACCTCCTGAGGACCCTTCCTATAGGCCCATCTGGTCTGAGCCTGCCTGCTGCACCCTCTCCACCAGTTACCACCTTCAAAAGAGATCCAAGGTGCACAACTGGTATTCAAGGCTGTGAATGGTCAGGTTGAACAGGTCAGAAAACATGGCTCTCCCTCCACAACCCAACTCACCCAGTTACCCACACTCCCCTCCACACCAAACCGCACTCAGAAACTCAGCTGTTGGAAGATTCTGTGCAATCAGGTGACTCAGTTGGTTAGAGTGTCATCCCGATATGCCAAGGTAGGAGGTTCAAACCCTAGTAAGGCCACATACAAGATTCAAGCAATGAATGCATAAATAAGTAGAACAACAAATCTCTCTCTCTCTCTCTCTCTCTCTCTCTCTCTCTCTCTCTCTCTCATTTCTGCTCTATATCTAAAAATCAATTAAAAAAAGATATGAGCTCAACAATTGCTGGGCTGCTCAGCTAGACAGCTAGATAGGCCTTATTTCAACCACCTATATTTTACTGAGCATCTATTTTATGGCAACTTAAAAAATACAGAGCACTCCCTCATTATCTCATTTCCTTTATTCTCCTAACGGGTACATGAGGCTGTAACTGAACTGTGTGCCGCCTAAATATCTGCAAAGTCTGCTGCATCTCGGCCCCATGAGTCCAGGGAAGGGATCCCTGAGCTTCAGCTATATCTCTCTAGAGCCTGGCCAGTGACGAACTGTGTGCCGCCTAAATATCTGCAAAATCTGCTTCATCTCGGCCCCATGAGTCCAGGGAAGGGATCTCTGAGCTTCAGGTACGACTCTCCAGAGTCTGGCCAGTGACGGCCCAGGGTCACTGCTCAGTAAGTACTGCCTGATTTCCTGGCCAGTGAGGGAAGCAAAGAGCAATTGCATTTAGAGACGCTCAGGAAAGGGAAGTGTCTTACACAAGCTCACAGAGGTTCTAGAAAAGGCAGAGTCAGAACTGGGCCAGAAATTGGGTGGGGTCCTCCCCTGCCCTGTTCCTCCACCCTCCTCACCTGGGACGGCTGTCACCCTCTGGATTTGGGTTTGGCATGAGGTGGAGGCAGAGTGTGCGGGGTCTGGTGAAACTCAGGTCGGTCTCAGAGGTCCCACAGCTTGCTGTCTCCTAGGGCCCACCCTCCAGGGATGGGCTACTTCCCTTCCTGAGAGGTCACTGATGAGGAACCAGTGACATGTCACTTGGAGACTGGACCTTGTCACACCTCATTCTTGCCTTTGTCCCCCAGGCTCTGTGGAGTTTATGTCTGCTGCGCACTGGGAACCATGTGAGGAAGCCCCCCGACCCAGAACCTCACCACCCTCTTGGCCTTGGTGAGCTCTGGGGAAAGGAGGTGGGGAGGGAGCGTTAACAGCTCAGTAACCATCACTGGGCTGATGGGATGGTGGAAGGAAGGGAGAAAACGTGCATGTGTGGAGTCTCAGGAAAGAGAAGGGAACTCCCAAGGTCACACAGACTCTGTGGGAGGCAGGAGCTGGTGCTTCCTTCTGCTCTGCCCTGTGCTCTGCACCCTCAGGGACTGGGACTAGGGTCACCCTCTGTATTGGGGTTAGACAGGAGGTGGAGGCAGGGCGTGGGGGGGTCTGCTGAGGCTCAGATCTGGTCCTGAAGGTCCCGGGACCTGCTGTGTCCTCAGCCATCCTTCAGGGAGAGCAGAGTGAGGCTGATGAGGAAATAGGGACCTGTCACCCAGAACCAGGACCCTGTCACACCCGCGCATCTGCTTGTCCTGCTGGGCTCTGTGGACTTTATCAGTCATCAGTGCCACTGGGGACCATGGCAGACAGCACCACCACCTTGACCTTCATTGTCCTCCTGTGCCTTGGTGAGTTAGTGGGGAAAAGAGAAGGGATGGGGTCCCCTCCCCTCCCAGGTCCTGGCCTTGGGAGACCCCAGGATTCAGGAGGCTCAGTGAGGACAGGCCTTTGGGGTGAGGAGACAGTGCTCAGGGTCCCAGACCAGGCCTGGAGCTTCTGTGTGCTGTCGGGGACTGTTCTCACAGGGACTTTCTTCCAGGGCTGTGTCAGGGCCCGTGGGACCAGGTACAGGCAGGTGAGTCTCCCTCCCTTCCCCCCTCCCACCCGCTTCCCCTGACCTCCTGCTTCAGCACAGTCACCCCATAGGCACCTGGGGAGACACAGGTTTGGAATAGTGGTGACCAATCTGGGAGGAGCCTGGGTGTGACAGCTGGTGAAGGAGGGGAGAAGGACGCCCGGACCATTCAGGTCTGATTCCTTTCCAGAATTCATCCCTAGTCCCTCCATCTGGGCTGACCCGGGCCGCTTCATCACCAACGGGAGCTCTGTGACCATCTGGTGTAAGGAGTATCTGCAGGCTAGTGCCCACGTTCTGTATAAAGACAGGGGCTCTGAGCCCTTGGAAATAAGGATCCCACAGGAGTCTAGCAACAAGGCCGGTTTCCTCATTGAAGCCATGACCCCATCCCACACAGGGCTCTACCAGTGTGCATATTACACCACTGAGGACAAACTGTCACATTGGAGTGACCCCCTGCTCCTGGTGGTGACAGGTAAGGGAGACGGCATGGGCTCCAGGTCACAGGCAGAGGGAATACAGTGTGACCTCAGGGGACTTCACCCCTCACAGAACACACCTGGGGCGCAAGGGTGACGGTCCCTTTAACACAGACCCTTTCTCCTTCCACAGGAATGTACCCTGCACCCTCCCTCTCAGCCCAGCCAAGCCCTGTGGTGGCCTCAGGAGGGAACGTGTCCCTCTCCTGTAGCTCACAGTTCACATCGGGCCCTTTCCATCTGCTGATGGAGGGAAAGTTTGATCCACCCCGAAACATGGAAGCAGAACTGAGGATCCATAATGGGAGGTCACAGGCCCAGGCCATCTTCTCTCTGGACCCCGTGAGCCCCTCCCATGGGGGGACCTACAGATGCTATGGTTCTTTCAGCTCCAACCCCAATGTGTGGTCACAGCCCAGTGCCCCTCTGCACATTGAGGTCACAGGTGAGGCACAGACCCCTGTGCATCCCCATCTGTTTCCTGGGCCTAAATTAACTGTGCTGTGTGTCCATTGGGGCCCTTAGGTCATGGGGGTCAGGGGTCTCCTGCCCAGACTCTGCATTCATCTCTGCTCAGTGTTTCTGTGCACCCCAGTTGGATGCAGGAGGCATCCTCTACAGGGATATGGCCCACATTCTCCTACACCCAAACTGGGGTGCTCTCCCTCCCTCCCTGTCCTCGCTCACTCTCCTTCACTGCTCTTCTCTTCTCACCCTGTCACATGAGGGTCCATCCCACCCGGCTGGTTTGGATTCACATCTATACAACCCTTCATGCTGGGTCTATTATGGTTCTTTTTAGAGAAACTTCGGGCAATACTTCAGTCTATAAACTCACAATTTCACTTACATTATATGGAGTCCAGATAGAAATATAAACATTCTATTCCTCTTTTCATTGGGAGCAGATCAAATTCAGATATTCGTTATGAAGAATAACTTCTTCTTTATATAAAGTCTTCTTATCACACACATTTTCAAATGAGCTTTATGAATGAACTTCAGAAGCTTTTGACAGCTATTTGTAAAATTGAGTAAATGCACAACCCATTTAGACAATTGCACAACTAATATAGCAATTTGTCAGAAAGCTGTTTGATTCTTATAGCTTTTCTAAATGGCACTGAGTACACATAGGAAAGCTATTGTGTGGGCATACTTATACCCTGACCTATTAGCCTCCCAAAGCTTCTCTCCCTGTGGATTGTTTTTCAGTTTATCCCTTTGATATAAAATTATATTCCCCAGCAGTCAAAGGAAATGTCATTTCTTTATTCCCAATGGCATACCTATTTTTCTCACTCCACATCCCATAGGATGAAACCGCAAAGCACAATGTTAATTCACACCCAAAGTTATGTCAAGGCAAATCCATTTACAAATTTGCATTTTATATTGAAAGCACTATTGGTCCCTATGTTCCAATCCGTTCTTCAGTTTCATTAGGGTTTACTAGGAAGGCTTTCTTTTCCTGACAGATACACCCACCCCCATAATTATCTTTTCTCTGACTTTTAACCACATGACACACATTACAAAGGCTTCTTAGATTCCCCACTTGGACATTACCCCAACTGAGCAACACGGATCATCCATGTGTATATCTGAATAGTGGAACTGAGTTATTGCATGGATCAGTGTACTGAGGAGATGACAATAATTTTGTTTATATCTCAGGTTTTATAGCAAAATAGGTAAACAGATTGACATAATTTCCTACTTTGGGTGCTCATTAAATAATGAAATTAGGGGAGTTTTCTCTGTGACTTAAGTTTGAACCAGACGTGTGGACAGGAGGCAGCCAATCAACAATTCCCTCTCATCATTGATGTTTCTATCTCTCTTTTCCTCTCCCTTCCTCTCTGAAATCAATAAAAATATATTTAATATATAAATAAATGAGTTAATGAAAGGATCAATAGATGAACAATTCCAGGTGAGGATGAAAATGCAGATCCCAGAGAGGAGGGGCCTGGGCGGGATGGAGTGAAGGAGACCCAGCCCAGACTTTCACTCCTTCATGCTCATGAGATTCAGGAATCCCTGATACCAACCCCTCCTCCACAGACCCGGGGTCCCCAGCTGTTGAGAACCTGGGATGACTTAGCAGTAGGGGAATAAGCTCATGGGGTCTTGAGTCTCAGGCTGAACGTGGACACACCGCTCTTAGTTATTTCTCAAGTGGGACCATTTCTCCCCTCACCCTCAGTTCTTGGGCAATGCTAACTCTTGTCAAGGTGACTCAGCAGGTGCTGAGTTCAGACATTACAGGGACGCTGAAGTAAAGGGAAGGTTGGAACCAGGGTTGACACAGAACCCGTGAGATTTGGGTTCTGCCCTGACCTCTATGACCTTTGCATCTACATTTTCCAGACTCCAAACCCCAAGACCCAGTGCCGATTCTCGCTGGGATGGGCGTGGCTGGCTTGGTCCTGGTGGTCTTCGCGGTGATACTATGTCAGACTCGAAATGACAACAGAAGGACCCTCGAGGCAGCCAGGATGTGAACACAGAGGGGACAACCGATCAGAGTGGGGGAGCCTTGGAGCCCATCTGATGACCCCAGGAGGTGCTGAAAGAGAACGTGGACCATAATTGGGGAAACTGTCTGCTGAGAACGTCCAGGGGAGAAGACGTGGTAGGCGAGGTTTGGGTGCAGGAGAACGTGGGCCCTGTCCCTGTAGAGGAAGCCTCCTGCATCCAGCTGGGATGATCTCCCTCCCTTCCTGTCCTCACTCACTGTCCTCCACTGCCCTTCTGTTCTCACCCTGTGACATGAGGGTCTGTCCCACATGGCTTGTTTGGATTCACATCTATACACCCCTTCATGCTGGGCCACATCCATCCCAACAAAAATGTGGTATCTTCATAGCCTGTGGGGTTTTTTATTTTATTTTTATTGACTTTTGAGAGAGAGGAAGGGAGAAGGATAGAGAGATAGAAACATTGAGGAGAGAAAAACATCAGTTGCCTCCTACATGACCCCTTTTGTGGATGGAGCCTGCAGCCTAGGCATGTGCCCTGAGCTGGATTCGAATCAGTGACATCCTTAGGTCGATGTTCTTAGGTCGATGTTCAACCACTGAGCCACACTGGTTAAACTGTGGGATTATTTTTAAACCAAGAAGAACAAAGTAAAAAAAATGTCCTGATACCTGCTCCACGTGGTCCAGACTATTGCACATCTCCACCCTCCTACCATCTCCATGGGACTCTTTTTTTTTTTTTTGGTGAGGGATTACAAATTTATTTGATCATCCACACATCACATGGCTGAGCCTGGATCGGTGCTTCTCCTTTGTATCCTTACCCGGGACCTGCTGTTTACCTAGATTTCATGTGATTCTGAATGATGCTTGCTCTGTAGTTTAGTTGTAATTTCGCCGTGGTTTGGGGAGGATTTAAGTACTTCCTTTACTTCCTCTGCTATCTTGGGAAGAAGTTGTAATATTTTGATAACAAATAAATAATTTTGAATTGTTGGCATCATTTCATTTAAGTAATGCATAGGTTTGTTTTAAGTAGCTTTTTAAAAAATTTTCCAGACCAGTTTTAAATTGATTCAAATTTATTTGCTTTATGCATTTACATCAATCAGTTTCAAGGTTATACATGCATTTCCAGTAGGAATAGTTGCCACCATTGTTAAATTGTTAAACGGGTCTGTGGGCCAGTCACTAGCTGCAACTACAACTGTTCCACCTGGAGCGATAGGATTACTGTGCCTCAGTGTTTCTACCAAAAGGTCATTGCTGATGCCGGCTTCACTGAAAGGCTGAACAACAGACATGGCCACAGCATCAGAAGATTGCTTGAGAAAGCTGTCCCATGTACATGGATCTGAACCCTTGAAGGATCACCTCCAAATAGACCAATTTCCCCTAAAATAGTCACCCTAGAAAGGATCACTGCCAACAAAAATACCAAACTGGAAACAAATCCAAGTCTGTATCTGCACCTGGATCTGCCAGGGACCTTGATTCTACAGTTGACGGCTCTTCCTCATTTGAGTGTCTGTCACTGTTACATCCAAAACAAATATTTTATTGGCAGCTGCAGTCCCCACTCCATTCCCATCAGCCATCACACCATTCCCATCAGTTCCCACTCCATTCCCATCAGCCATCCCTCTATTCCCATCAGTCCCCACTCCATTCCCATCAGCCATCCCTCCATTCCCATCAGGCCCCACTCCATTCCCATCAGTCCCCACTCCATTCCCAGGAGGCAGCATGTCAGAAGCAGTTCTTGCTCAGACTCCAGGCTGCTCAGGCCTTCTGTGCGCATTCAGTTGGCTGTTGCTCTGCTGCCTGTACTGAGGCTGCAATAATCTCTAGCTGCTAGCACCATCTCTGGAGTCTAGCGCCATTTAAAAGGATGCTGTGTGGGCTGCTGCACCAATTTCTTTTTTTAAAAACTGTATCTTTATTGTTGAAAGTATTAGAGTTGTCCCCGTTTTTTCCCCACTGACCCCACAACTGCCCTTCTCAGGCCTTTCCCACACTATTGTCTGTGTCCATGGGCTGTGCCTATGTGCATATAACTTCCCCAGTTAATCTCTCCCCACTCATCCACTTACCCAGCTTTTCCTCTGAGATTCGTCAGTCTGTTTTATGCACCTATGTTTCTGAATCTCTTCTATTCATCAGTTTATTTTGTTCATTAGGTTCTATATATGAGTGAGGGCATGTGATACTTATCTTTCTCTAACTGGCTTGTTTGCCTTGAAGTCCCTCCATGCTGTCTCTATATACTCCAGGTCCCTCCAAGCTGTCTCAAAGG